AGCTGCCACGCACCAACGGTCAAGTGATGACCGGACGCACCTCTGCGCCAAGACCGGACGCGCCACTGCCTGAGTCCGATTGTTTCCAGAGAGCTCCCTGAGCCTCTATTTTGCGACCGGACACGTCTGCTCCTGCATGACCGGACGTAGACCAGCCAGAGTCCGGTCATTTTCAGAGAGCTCCCCGAGCCTCTGTTTTGCGACCGGACACGTCAGGTTGGTCGCGATCAGATGCAGCACCTGAGTCCGGTCCTTCATCGCCTGCCATGTGTCACTGCTGCTGCTCGCGCCAAGACGTCAGCGTATGTCACAACCGATCGAACGCAACCTCAGCGCGTCAGGTCACCTCTTCGCGCAGTGTCTGGTCACATGACCGAGACTGTGCGCTCAACTGCTGCCACTGACCGAACGTGCCGGTCCTACAGTGGCCTGCGTCCGGTCACTCACAGTGACACCTTCTCGCCTCTGTTTCTTCACCGAGTTTGTCCTCATCAACTCTAACTTCTCATTTGCAAATGTGCCAACACCACCAAGTGTACACCACCATGTGTATGTGTGTTAGTATTTTCACAATCATTTTTCAAAGGAGTTAGCCACTCAACTTGCCACGCCACTCGATCCTAGCAACGATGCAAAGTTAGATCACCTAAGTGGCACTAGATGACCGATATGCAAACAAGTTTGCCCCTCTTGATAGTACGGCCATCTATCCTAAACCCGGTCATCAACTTCTCTACACACCTATGACCGGTGAAATGAAATGCCCTAGGTTATACCTTTGCCTTGCGCATTCCATTCCATCTCCTCCAATGTCGATGCAACATATGCACCAACATGATCAACAATGATATGATCCACTTCATATCATCACGTGATCATATTGGTTCATCGATCTTGACTTCACTTGCTCTTCACCATTGCCTCGGTCCATCGACACCAAGTCATCACTCAACTTGCCCTTCACACTTGCAACATGTCCGTCGAACCAAGTCATGTCTTGATCTTCTCCACCTTGATCACATGACTCAATGTCATGTCTCATGTGCAATGAGCTCCTTCATCATCACATGTGTGAGCTTTGCAACATCTTCGAGCCATTTCCACCTTCATGGCATATGTTGCTCACACACATGTACCTGTGGACTAATCACCTGTGTATCCCACATAAACACAATTAGTCCACCCAGGGTTGTCACTCAATTACCAAAACCACACAAGGACCTTTCAGCAGCGGTATAATCACCCTACTCACTCATTTACATTCCCGCAAACTAGTTATAGCAAGCTCTTTAGTGTAGCTAGAATTGAGAGCTTGCTTTCTAGTTTAAGTTCATCTAGTGGAGATCTTTAGTGTAGCATATTTGAGAGCTCTTAGTGAGTAGCAACATAGCCTCTTGTGTGCCTAGTGATCATAGCAACTAGAATTGTTGGATAGGTGGCTTGCAACTGAAAGCACCTAGGCCCCTAGTTTGGTTTCGATGATTAATGACGACACAAGATTACTGTGACTAATGTGTGTTTTGCAGAGGCAACTTGAGTTAGGTCATGGTAATGGTGATTGATTGGGCAATTATAGTTTTTATGCCCCTGTCGATGGAAATCGTTTAGGTTTTCAAAGGATGGACGACAAGGTTAAGGACAGACTAGTTCTAAGTGTTGTTTGATGTTGGAGAGACACTTAGAGTAGTTAGGACTTTGTTTTTCCTTTGGTCGTACTATTAAGGGGGTATGAACTAGTAGCTTGACCTAGGTGAATCTAATGGTTTAGGTGTAGTGCACACTTGTCAAACTCGGCACTAGGTAGCTCAAGGATAGCCCATAGATCAGTTGAAGTCGATGCCGTTCACAAAGTTGGTAGAATTTGAGGTGAATGGAGACTTGGATGATGACTAGACGCTAGATTGGACGCACAGGTGCTGCATCCGGTCAGTGTTAGCTCACGCAGCTAGGGCTTGATCATCGACCGAACGCTGGCTCCTAGTCAGGATCAGACGCGTAGGTGTGCGCAACTGTAGAGCAAGCAGCACTCACGAAGGACCGGACGCTATGACCTGACACACAAGAGGCCACGTTCGGTCAACAACAGTAAGCATCTAGAGAAGGAAATTGCTGACCGAACGCATCAGATGAGTGGTGATCGGACGCTGGTCAGAGTCTTGTCTCTGATGACTGTGCTAGCATCATGTAGCCATTGGCTACTGACTGGACGCGTCCGGTCACTTTGACCTGAGCGTCCGGTCACCTCGAAATGTGCTGAGTTGGACCCCAACGGGTATGTTTTGAAGTGGGGAGTATAAATACTTCCCCTACTTGTCCAACTTAGCTCCCTTGCCCATTTGTTCAGTGGAGAAACACCTTTGGAGTGCAAGAGAGAGCAAGAGCCTAGTGGGGTGATTGAGATTTGATAATCCAAGATTAAGGACCTCATTAGTGCATAGGGAGTAGCAAGTGTGCATCCACCTTTCTCATTAGGCTTGTCTTGGTCAAGTGAGAGTCTGTGCTTGTTACTGTTGGTGATCGTCATCACCTAGACGGCTCGGTGGTGATTGAAAGCTTGGTGATCATCCGGCAGAGCTTGTGGATGACCCAAGTCATGTTGTGAGCGGTTGTGGGCGATTCACCGCGATGGAGTGTCGAAGAATCAGCCCGTAGAGAGCACTTGATCCTTGCGCGGATCAAGGGGGAGCTACACCCATGCGCGGGTGCTCCAGCGAGGACTAGTAGGGAGTGACGACTCTCTGATACCTCAGAAAAATATGGCCACGTTCCTCTCCTTCTCTTTACTTTGAGCATTTACATTTGAGCAATTCAATTCATGTCTTTACATTCTTAGAATTACCAAGCTAGAGTAGGATTGAAACCTAGTGTGTAAAAACTTTTGTGCGGTAGAACAATAGAAACACTTCTAGGCACAAGAGGGTGAAATGGGCTAAGTGTAGGGCTTAATTATTGTAAGAAATTTAGAATAAGCCCAATTCACCCCCCCCCCCCTCTTGGGCATCTTGATCCTTTCAGCAACCCTTGTAGAGTTAGAACAAGTTTGTATTTCGCTATTTGTCATACTAATCAAATTGCTCTAGTGATCTTGTAGATTTTAAATAACCTATTCACCCCCCCCTATAGCCATATTAGGACCTTTCACACCATAAATTTAATACTAGCTTCGCCCCTACCCTCAGCTATTCAGTTTTAATTGAAAGTACAAGAGCCAATAGCCGAATACAACTAAATGTGACCTAATTACTTATACTCGGTGTTGGTATTTCTTAATGTATGCGATAGAATCCGCAAGCGCATGAAATTACCATTGTAGCACTTCACCCGAAAGTATTCAGCGTATCGTATTTTCCATAAGGAACAGAGTTGTAAATGTCTCTTAGCTAGTTCACCCAAGATAACAAGAAAGAGAGTGGCTCGAGTAGTGAGGTTTTCTAAGGATAGAGAACTTAGGTTAAGATAGTTTGAACACTATAAACTTGTTTCGGGCACCAGAGCACACTTGGTCTGCCAAGCGATCCCGGCCGTTAACTCTATACCAAACCCGAATGTGGGGGATTACACGGGATAGACAGGGCTGTCACCACCTGCCGCATATCCCTTCAACCGTGGGGAACAAGGCAAACGAAGGTAATCTCTAGCCTAGCACCACATCTACACTATCGATTACTACTCTAGCATCGTACAAGATTATCCGTTTTTATCAGGAGTTTCTAATGCAGTTTGCCAATAGGGCAATAGCTGTTCTTTGTTCTGGTTTTCATGCTGGGATTCAGCTTATAGGTCGATCCAACTTGGAAAATAGATATCTTTAGTGAACGCCGGTACTTTATTAGTCAACAATGGCAGCCATCTTGCTTCTGGTGCTCAAGTGTACCAGATGCTTTGTTTTCTCAAGCAGGTGAGCATCCATATTACGTAGACTATTGCAACAGGAAATCAAGCAAAAAAAAACTAAAACATGAGCATAAGTAGCTTAGTTTGCTGGAGCAGAGCACTGCACCCATACAAGCATGCAACTCTTTTAGTTTAAGCGGATAAACAGATAATGGTTTGTGTGTGAGTGTATGTGATTATCACCCAATCGATTACTTAATGGATCTGGCTGATGGTTCTTTTGCTTAGCTACCTGTAATGTAATAATACAACTGCAATGCAAAGTGTGGATCTGCTTTCTTCCTCACTGTTTGGCTTGCCTGATCACGAATCGCTGCTATGATCTGCCACGGTCTATGTATTCATGCTGCTTTAGTGCTGCTTTTTGTTTGGGCCATACATACCATACTTTTCTTTTGGTCATCAATAGTAGTATTGGAATCTGGAAAATTCATGGGCTTGCTGTAGTAGACTTATAATGTTGCCTACTTATGTTGACTGCCACTCTTTCAATTTCATGTAATGGGATTGTCCAAAACATTTTCTTACATGTGAGGTCACTTGCTCACCTGTGAAGATAGCGATTTCGACGAGCGCTGGACAAGCTCATGAGGAAGGCTGTGGCGCTGCCAGCAGCAGCCACGCATCCCCGGACATAGACAACCTCCGCGACATGGTGGTCCATATCTGGTTAGACATTGTTGCGGCCTTCAGCGGAGTGAGCGTGTAGTTCAAAAAAATTATGTCCCTGGTGCAACGCATGGCCATATCTCCTACAACTAAAAAGAATAAAGCGTGGATATTTTTTGGTGCAACATTCCAACGTGGGTCCATCATCCTGCCTGCTGCGATCCCGCGAGGGGAAGTCGCGCCGCCGGGTGGGCCCTTATCTCCGCGCGTTGATCGCGGATCCTCTGAGAAGGAAACAACACCGCGGGGCACCACGTTGATCGCGGTGCCTGCTCCCTTCCTCGTGCGATCCGTGGCTCTGCTCCCTTCAGCGGGGGCTCTCGGTCTCCTCCTCCTTCAGATCTCGCGCCCTCTCCATCCCATGCCCACTCCCCCTCCTCGGATCTAACCACTCCCCCCTTCTCCCGTCTTTGCGGCCGGAGCTGAGATCCACGGCCATGGTGGGCGCCACGGGCGGGTTCGTCACGCGGGCCTTCGAGGCCATGCTCAAGGAGTGCGCCGCCAACCGCGGCAAGTTCGCCGCGCTGCAGCAATCCATCCAGTCATACCTCGGTGCGTGCATGCGGCCCCTTTCCTCCCTCTCCTCCCACGCATTGGGATCTCGTGGTGGTTGATGATGGAGCTGTGGTGGTCTCTGCGTGGGGCTCATGTCGTTGTAGAAAGCATCAAGGGGGCTAAGGCAGAGGGCGCGGTCATCACGGAGGCGCTCGCACAGGGAGCTTGCCGCACGACCACCGGCAACTGCAGGTAACGATTGAGTCCTCATTTTCTCATGTTGTCAAACTATCTATTAAATTCACAATCAATGAGATGAATACTGAGCTGATAAATTATTTTGAGTTCCCTGTATATATAATTCCTTTTTTTCCTCCCATGTTCTCCAGCAATGAACTCATTAAAATATGCATGATTATAATATAATATAAAGCTATTCCTCACCCAAATACTGAAACCAACATGATTTCAATTATTCAAGCTTTGGCAGAAGGTTTCTATGATGCAGTTGGGTTGCAGGAACATTGCAAGATCACACTCAAGACTGATTTAAACACATACAATATTTGGAAGTTCAGATTGTCCTCTTTAAAATAAGGAAATGCTCTGTTTTTGTTCCCTGTGACATAATGATTCTGTTAAAACCTCTGAACTCTCCTTATTACAGGTGATGCCTTGCATCATATCCCAGTCTGCAAATAAATTTCATAGTCAAACTTCGAGGCAGCATTGCACTATAGGGTTTCAGTATTGGCTTCCTTGCTGATATAGCCTATTTTGTTCTTGCAATTTCCAATAACAGATTTTTAAATATTAGCATAGACTATTTGGGACCCAACAGTGATATCTTTTCCTATTGTCAGTGATGCAATGCAGGTCTTGCCTACAACACTCTGACACTTCCAATTAACTTAGCGTTTTAAGTCATTGTCAATCTCACATATGCAAAAGGTTGGTGCGTTCATGAAGGCAAGTGAACCCTAACTAAATCCAGTAAACTTTCCATATTTCAATTACATTTTCTGAATATTTGTATCCCAGGAACGTATATTGGCCAGTGTATCATTTCGAGCATGCAATCTATTCCCTTGAGGTAACCACTCTTGTAACATGGGAAATTGATATAAAAATAAATTAATCAGTGTTCAATGGTGTTCAGGGCAAACTAATAGTTCAGGGTGTCCGATAATGTTCTTTTTTTTGTTTTGCAATACTATTTTGTACCATGGTTGGAACCCTACTCTAGATCAATGTCTTTGATATTGTTGTCTCCTAGATCCACATAGGTGACTTTTGGAAGTTGATGAATATCCTTCAACTCTTGTTGTTTTCTCTACTGTTGTAAAAAATATCGATATTGGTGATTACATTATCATTTCAGTGCTCACATTGAGATGCTTAACATGTTTTATGTTTGCATTTTATTATATTGTTAGCAAGCCCCATTTTGACATGTTTAATGATTGTATTTTATGTGAAGGAAATCGAACAAAAAGCTTCTGGTCAGCATGGTGTGACAATGCAAGAAGACCCCAATCAGACACCAAACACTAATTAAGCATGGTGCTGATGAAGATGTAAATATGTTAGCACTATTTATTGCTCCAATTTATTTATTGGTGAAGATGTAAATATGAATTGGCACCACGCTATGAACCTTGTCATTCTAGATAGTAAATTGCTTCTTGTTGGATTATTTATTGGTGAACGCTAGGGGTACATTTTATATCGGATTCTTTGTCATTCGATAGTTTAGCTTAAGCGTGGTGCCAATTCTCAATTAAGTTGTCGTAAAATGCAGGGTTCAGCTGATATGTACACGACAGCATATTTGGTGCTGGAGGACACCATCCCCCACACTTGACAAGGCCATCCTGGAAGAGTCTGTGCACTTTGATGGCTATCTCATGAGCCGAGGAGCATGTGTGGACTGGTACCTGAGCAAATTTTCCACTATACCCTATCTGTTGCTATCATGGCTGCACAAGCATCACAATACACATCATATAAATGATGGTCAGTATACTTGCTTTGTCTACAGCTGATCTGAATTTGTCTGTCTTCAGTATGTGTCTGCAAAGTTTCTGTTTCATGTTCGTTTTTCTTCTTACCGGGGAAGGGGAAGATACAATGTTTGTTTCCTTATGATTGTTGCCCAAATTTCTCTACTGTAAACACTACCCAGCAGAAGGTGATCCATAGTTTTTGGCGCCTGGTCACAGATGATGCACTCATCAGAGCTCTGCAACCCATGACAATGTCTCCTAGCAGCAGTCCAACAACATCCATGCATCACCAGCTAAAAGAAAATTTGGACACATGGGAGGACATCGCTTTTCTAGATTTGCTTAGCCCCAGCCGGTTTTGATGAACCATAGAACATTACGACATAGGCTGAGGCTGCAAAATACTGCTGGTTGTTGGACAAGCACCAGGAGATCAAGACACTGGTAATGTCACACACACATGCCCGTTGTGGAATTGCTTCCGCCGCTCCCTAGCCACTGTCGCGAACAGTGCTATAGGAATTTCTGAGTTTGGAGTTTTTGATATTTTGTATATTTGTCCCAACAGGCTTCACTTGAGCAAATCAGGACGCTATAGGAATTTCTGAGTTTGGAGGTTTTGATATTTTGTATATTTGTCCCAACAGACTTCACTTGAGCAAATCAAGATAGAAGGCATATGCATGTGTTACTGAGTTCGGGATATCAGATATCACAAATGCACCGGCTTAGAGCAACATAAGAGTCGTGATGTCTGGTTTGAATTTTTTTGGGGGAGAGAATATGGTCCAACAGTATTGCTATCTCGAATTCTAGAATGTCATTCTTTTTGTCACGGTAAAATACACATACAGCCTTCAGTTGTTTTGACTTTATTGCATTAACTTTTGTATTAAAAACATATGGATCACACGATAAGATAACAATACTGTAAAATTAAATAACGTTAAAGTGATATTTAATCAAAAAGTGAACTTAAAGTGATATTTAATTAAAAAAGCGAAGTTCATGAAATTAACACAGCCACAGAGAGTGCGGCGTCACAGGCTCACAAACTTTACTGTATAAACATTTTCGCGATGTGGCTAAGATAATGTGTTTTATATCGGTAGGAAGAAATCTCCGATATCTATTTCTTTCGTGCACCAATAAATACATTCCGCCGCATCTCTATACCATCATGTACTATGAAATTAAATATCCATGAGATTTATTTCTGCCGATGTAACACATTATCTTAGCCGCATCAGAAAAATGTTAGAGTTTATGAGCCTGCGACGGTGTGCTCTCCGTGACTGTGTTAATTTTATAAACTTTGCTTTTGGTTAAATGTTCACAGTATTGTTATCTTATCGTGCGATCCGTATGTTTTTAGTATAAAGTTTAACTATCCTGTAACAACGCACGAACACGCTACCTATAGTATTAGTATAAAGAAAACAAAAACATCAAAGCACATACGACACCTGAAGTTGACTTTCCTTCGTTACTAGCACAGAGCTCAAGAAAGTCCTAGATACAAACACCGACTAGGAGACTAAATTTATTTATTACTGTAATTAAACACCGAGGAGTAGTTGACTTTCCTACATGAGTACGGTAGACTACTAGACTGATTGTAATATGGATCCAACGATCATTGGATCCGATTCCTTGTTAATACTAAGTAACTGATACTATTCGTATATTCCAATTCATGCCCATCTCTTGCATTCCAGTGACACAGCTTGAATTCAGACGCCGCTACACACGGCGGCCGTGTTTCTTCCTTGGCCGTCACCTTCATCCTCGCTGCCGCCGTCCGTCGTCATCCTTGTCCTCCCACTCCTTGTTGACGTCGAGGAAGTAGAGCGCGGCGACCATGGCAACGCAGGAGGCGCACATGGGGATGGGCCCGAAGAGCCAGAGGAAGACGGGGCACGAGAAGTAGTAGGCGCGGACGCCGAGCGACCAGAAGTAGAATCCCCGGTTGAGCGTGCCGGTGACGTATCCGACGGCGCGCGCGGGGCGGCGGTGTGCGGCGAGCGGCACGTTGACGAGGAGCCCCGTGTGGCTGTAGTACCGGATGGACTGCACGTTGAGGAGGAACGCAACGAGGAAGCAGACGAGCACCGCGAAGAACTTGGCGGCCAGCGCGGCCTCGCCGCTGCCGGCGCCCACCGGGAGACCGGAGGCGGAGAAGAGGCGGCCCCCGCCGGCGGCGCCGCTGGCCATGAGCCCTGCGACGAGCGAGCTAAGCGTGATGGCGACGGAGGCCAGCACGGTGGAGGCCATGATGGTGTTGCGCAGCGTCTGCACCGCCAGCACCGCGTGCTTCCCCGACGGGTCCTCCATGATGTGGCGCACCCAGATGCGGCGGTTGATGGCGTTGATGCCGATCACGGTGGTCTCCGGGCGGCGCCGGATGCGGAGGAGCAGCCAGATGTGGTAGCCCACCATCAACGCCAGGCCCAGCGGCACCAGCACATAGTCCAGCTGCGGCGACGAGCCACTCTTCATGGTCGAGGTAAAGGTAGTAGTACCTCCGGTCGGAGCCGGAGCCGATGATGTGTATGGCAGGGTGAGATTGATAGCTCTTAGTATAGCAGTGTAGAACTCCGTAGTGCCGTACGTACTACCAGTAGTATATAAATTCAGTGGGTAAAGTTATTTAGAGCAAGGCGAATAAGCTTGGCTATTAGCCAAGTCCACGTAATCTTGAGACGACACAGGAGACGAGTAATACAACAGCTTGGCGTACAAGAAATACTCATGTATAAAGTCACTGAAGTACACCTGTGTAGGGCACCGTAACGCCTAAGGGAGGTGAATTAGTCAACTTAAAAATCTAACTCTAAACTATGGCCTCTTTTTCTAACCTTAGCAAAACCTATGTAAAAGATAAACTATCAAAATGTGCAACTACGGTTTTGCTAATGTGTTGCTATCTCTACCGTAAAAAGGAGTAATACAATCAGTATAAATGCGGAAGCTAAAGAGCAGGGTAGAAATATGCAAACTCCCGTCGACGACTCCGGTATTTTTATCGAGGTATCGAGAAGCACGCAAGCTTCTCCCTAGTCCTCGTTGGAGCCCCTCGCAAGGAATCCCTCGCAAGGGCCAAGCTCCTGGTCGGGTAATTCCGTGGATAGCCTCGGGTCATCCCCACGCGCAAGTGGGTCTCCGACGTGTCTTCCGGCAAGCCTCTCCTGGATGCTCCCCGCCGTCTTCACTATCAAGCTTTTGGCCAAAACGTCGCGGGCCTTATTCCCTCTGGTACACGGTGGCGGCCACACCACAAACGAGGTTGGTGTGATCTCGTAAGACTACAAGCCCCTCCGATGTACAACAATGGTGCGCGCAAGCACCGAGTGATAAGAGGTATGCAAACCTCACTAAACACTAGACCTAAACCTAGAGCAAGTGTATAAGCAGTGGTCTAATCAATCTAAGCACTTCACAAAGCACCTACGCTAATCACCTAATGAATCACTAAGCACTATGCAAGTGAAGATCACTTAAATAGTGTATCAACACCGTTGATATGTTTTCTCAGCTCCACCACACTCAAATGGCCGGTTGGGGGTCTATTTATAAGCCCCACTGAGAAAGTAGCCGTTGAGGACGAAATTCCGCTTTTCTGCTACTGACCGGACGCTAATTACGTCCTGACTAGACGCGCCCGGTTGTCTCGACCGTTGGAGCCGCGATCAACTGATCGAACGCTTCCAGCGTCCAATCGTATTTTCGCCGCTCTGGAACCTCTGTGTACTCGACCGGACTCTATTGTCCTGCGTCCGGTCGATCTGCTGCCAGCGTCCGGTCTAGCGTCCGGTCATTGCTGCTACCGAGCCTCTTGATCGGCGTGTCCGGTCACTGTGCTACCAGCATCCGGTCACTTCAGTGAGCTCGTTTCTTCGCGATCTTGCGTACGGCTTGGTTCCTATCTTTATGCTTGAACTTTGCTTGATATCTTGGGTCTTCTCTTGTGCTTCTAAGGTCTTGCTTATGGTATTGATCATCGGATCATCACGTTGCCTTCGTCCAAGTCACATCTTGCACCCTATTGAACTACAAAACAATCACTTGTAAATTCATTAGTCTAATTTGGTTGTGTTGGTCATCAAACACCAAAATCGAAAGTAAAAGGGCCAAGGGTCCATTTTTCTTACAATCTCTTCCTTTTTGGTGATCGATGACAACATAACCAAAGCAAGCAAATAATAAAAATTTAGAATTTAAAAACTATCTACTTGCTAGGATGCAATGCAAGTGGCAAGGTTATATGATGCTAAAAGATACTACTTGTAACACTAAAAGATACTGCATAAAAACTTATCTTGCTCTTGTAAAATGTCCCTATGTGGCATTATGAATTTAAGCCTTGCTTCCTATAAATTCTCCTCATTACATAGACTAATCCATAATCCACTATCCTCTCTTTCTCGAACCATTATCACTTGTAGACCATTACCACTTGTAAATTATCTAGCTTATGGCCTTTGCTTTTGGTCCTCTAAATTCTCTCCCTTTTGAATCAAACATCAAAAAGTAAGACATTAGTAGCACAAGGGAGGGTCAAACTTTGTGATCCTTTGTGTGTAGAGTAGAATAGGTCATAAAATTTGACTCTCACATTATATAAATTAAGCTCCCGCTAAATATATGTATACATATGGTAGAAAGCAAGGCATATGCATATTTAACAAATTATTGCTCCAGGGAATTTAATCTAAGGGAATTTAATCTATATAATGCATGGAGAAAGCATATAAATATCAAAATGAAATCAACATGATGATATCGTTTAGAAATACCACATGTGGAAACCAATTTGATTTCTACCACTTACAATAGGTGGTGGATATTTGAAGTATGATGCTTAACTCCGGGGACTTCATTTTCCTTGCAATGAGACTACTACACACATGATAAGCTTGAAAATGTGTTAGTCTAAAAGCATCCAACTTGTAGAGTAACCTCCCCCTAAATTTGTGCAGACAAGTGTGGGATACTTGTAGAAGTCATGCACATTTATTTTAGAATCAATAATACCACTTGAAAGATAACATCTCATGAATATGAGAATCATTTTCGAAGATGATATTCGGGAGAAATTATCTACAATTTAAACTTTGGCACATATTGGATGAACAATCAAAAGACAAGCTATGTGTCGTGCTCCTAAATAATTTTAAATCATGTAGGTTTGCTCAAGGGTTAAGAATGAAATCGAGCAAGCCTACCATAAGATATACCTAGTGTATGCATGACAAAAGATATAAGCATGCAAATACAAACATAGACATGAAAAGTAACTAGATGCTTAAAGATACCTATTTGTAAGAAATACCACTTATAGGAAATACAAATTGATACTACTTGAAGGAAATTGAATCCAGTTACCTAACATGGGATGGGGAATTTGGGTCCATAGTATTCACTAACCCACTTGACAATGATTTTGTCCATCATGATGCACCCCATGAAATACACCCATACTTTGCTAAGTCTCCAAATTCCCCGATGTCCATCGGACTTCTCACTTCCCTTTTAGGATCCAAACCTTCTTGGTGCTCTTCATGTTGGAAATGATTTCCTTTGGCACCCAAAAGCGTTTGACCCCATTGTTGGCTTGCTTGTTTACCTTTATGGCCACCACCTTGTCATTTTTCTTCTTCTTTAACAAGTATGGCGTGGAGGCCTTCTTGTCCACCTTGTTGGTGTAGGTGTTGGAGAACTTGCTTGTTTGCTTCTTCTCTTTCTTCTTTGCTCCTCCCCCATACTTCACCTTGCACTCATAGGACTTGTGACCTTCCTTGTGGTACATGTAGCAAACCACGGTTTGTCCTTCATCAAGCTTCTTCACTCCGTTGACGGTGTTATCTTGATGAAGTTGGGCTTGCTTCGCCTTGCCTTTCACTTGAGTCAAGTCCTTGGTGAGGTGAGCTACTTCTTGCTTGAGTTGCTCATTCTCCTTTGCAACCTCCTTGTGTGCATGTATCTACAACAACTTTCTCAATACAAACTTGGTTGCACAAAGATGAGTCTAAACATAAATCATTACAAGAAGTAGAGGCATCCTTTTTAGACATGTTAAAGATAGAACTTTTCTTTTTAGATGCCTTGGTGGGGGTTGTACTAACGGCTTCAAGATTAGCAACTTTATTAGTTAGCTCTTCACAATATTTGATATGTTTCCTCAGCTCCACCACACTCAAATGGCCGGTTGGAAGTCTATTTATAAGCCCCACTGAGAAACTAACCGTTGGGGATGAAATCCCACTTTTCTGCTACTGACCGGACACTGATTACGTCCTGACTGGACGCGTCCGGTCGTCCCGACCGTTGGAGCCGCGATCAACTGATCTGACGCTTCCAGCGTCCGGTCACATGCCACCGAACGCATCCGGTCGCATTTTCGCCGCTCTGGAACCTCTCTGTACTCAACCGGACTCTGTTGTCCTATGTCCGATCGATCTGCCGCTAGCGTTCGGTCACTGCTGCTGCCGAGCCTCTTGATCGGCGCGTCCGGTCACTGTGCTACCAGCGTCTGGTCCAGTGTCTGGTCACTTCACTGAGCTCGTTTCTTCGCGATCTTGCGTACGGCTTGGTTCCTATCTTCATGCTTGGACTTTGCTTGATATCTTGGGTCTTCTCTTGTGCTTCTAAGGTCTTGCTTATGGTGTTGATCATCGGATCATGACGTTGCCTTAGTCCAAGTCACATCTTGCACCATATTGAACTACAAAACAATCACTTGCAAATTCATTAGTCCAATTTGGTTGTGTTGGTTATCAAACATCAAAATCGAAAGTAAATGGGCCAAGGGTCCATTTTCCTTACAACCTGGACCTGGTGATCAATACTAAACACATCTCTGTAGCTACTTGTGTTGCTGGCACATTCAGGTCTATGGGCATGTTCACAAATAAATCAAACAAGGTGTCGACTGAAGCAAATAAGCAATAATATTGAGCACCTTCATGGTCCCTTTGGATACACTTCCTTGGACCACTTTGGCGATGAGAAGGTCCTGAGTTGAAGGTGTCCATCAGACATTCCACTTGTACCTTTCATACCGAGTGCTCTGTACGTCTCCAGCATAGCCGACTTAGCATTTTCTTTGGCTGCAAGGTGGTTAAGTCTAGCCGATTCAAGCTTCTCGCCTGAAACGTGTTTCTGGGTTTCCAACATCTTTTCTCGACTTTCATTTGTGCCCTGAAGTTTTGTAAGCTGTTGTAGGACATCATCCATCTGCGAAGGACATTTCTTGGCCTCTTTCTTTGCCTTCTTGTTGCCTATTGGACGATCTTCAGATTGTGCCAAAGAGGTCATGAGCTCTCTTACACTCCCCTCAGTATCCAAATTCCTTTTATTTGACTGCTCCCCCTCCTCTAGTTGCACTTGCCACTTTGGTTCATCACGTAGAATCTTCCAACAATGCTTGAACGTAAATGGACCATCTTTGTATTCCTCATAGATAGTTTCGGCCTTCTCTAGTATCTGGTCATCAGAAT